GAAGTAAAAGAGCTGAACAGAAGATTTCAAAGGGGGCTCAAGAAGACAAAGTAAAGTATTACAATGAAATATGCAAAGACCTGGAGTTAGAAAATCAAAAAGGAAGAACGCGCTCAGCGTTTCTCAAGCTGAAAGAATTGAAGAAAAAACTCAAGTCTCGAGTTGTAATATTGAAGGATTCTAAGGGCAAAATGTTGAACGACGCATGAAGCAACAAATGAAGATGGAAGGAAGACACAGAGTCACTGTACCAAAAAGAATGGGGTGATGTTCAACCATTTCAGGAGGTAGCATATGATCAAGAACCAATGGTATTGAAGGAAGAAGTCCAAGCTGCACTGAAGGCACTGGCAAAAAACAAGCCTCCAGGAATTGATGGACTACCAATTGAGATGTCTCAACAAACGGATGCAATGCTGGAAGTGCTCACTCGTCTATGTCAAGAAATTTGGAAGACAGCTACCTGGCCAATCGACTGGAAGAGAACCATATTTGTGCCCATTCCAAAAGAATGCAGAAATTATTGAACAATATCAATAATATCACCCAAAGTAAAATTTTGCTGAAGATCATCCAAAAACGGTCGAGGCAGTACATAGACAGGGAACTGCCAGAAATTCAAGCCAGATTCAGAAGAGAATGTGGAATGAGGGATATCATTGCTGATGTCACGTGGATCTTGGCTGAAAGCAGAGAATATCAGAAAGATGTTTACCTGTGTTTGATTGGCTATGCAAAGGCATTCAACTGTGTGGATCATAACAAATTATGGATAACATTGAGAAGAATGGGAATTCCAGAACCCTTAATTGTGCTCATGAGGAACCTGTACATAGATCAAGAGGCAGTCATTCGAACAGAACAAGGGGATACTGCATACTTTGGACATGTTATCAGAAGGGACTAGTCCCTGGAGAAGGACATTATGGTTGGTAAAGCAGAAGGTCAATGAAAAAGAGGAAGACCCTCAATGGGGTAGATTGACACAGTGGCTGCAACAATGGGCTCCAACATAGCAACTATTGTGAGGATGGTGCAGGACCGGGCAGTGTTTCATTCTGTTGTACATAGGGTCGCTATGAGTCAGAACCATCTTGATGGCTCCTAACAACTTGTGTGTGTGTGTGTGTGTGTGTGTGTGTGTGTGTGTGTGTGTGTGTGTGTAGAGAAAGAGCCACAAAGACAGAGATTGATTTTAAGGAATTAACCCACAGGATTGCGGGGGTGGGCGGTGGGGGGATGGCGACCCAAAATCTGTAGGTCAGGGGACAGGTTGGAGATTCTTGCAGTCTTTGTCCCAAGATCCATGAGTCAGGAAATTAAAAGAGTGAAAAGTGGAGGAATTCTGGCAAGATGTCTATTTATAGTCTGGAGGCAGAGCACACCCTGGGACACTCCCTTCTTGCTCTTAAAGCCTTCAGCTGATGGGATGAGGCCGCCCACAGTATGGAAGGTCATCTGCCTCACTTAAGACCAACTGATTAATGACTCACAACGACATCATAACAGCCCCTAGACTAGCATGTGACCAAACCCTGGGCACCATTGCTGAGTCAAGTGGACAGGTAAAATTAACCATCACAGTACTGTCTACCTTTTCTATGTGCTTTACATGAGTTAATTCATTTAATTCTCACAACCCTACATGGTAGATTCTATTATTGACCCCAAAGTTCACACATAAGTATGTGAAGGAGCCAGAATTCCCAACCAGGTGGCCCAAGCTCTCCCACTCACCCTCTTTTAGGTTACCTCTCTGCTGTGTAAATATCAGGAACATCATTCCTGCAATTTTTGTATTTCCTCATAGCATTCACAGGGGTGGGGAAGCCCTCAGTGTATGATGCTGGCCTAGTATATGTATAGGAATTTTCCAAGAATGTTCCAGTATAGATCAATGAACATGGGGTCATTGTTCAATGAACAATGCACAGCCGCTGAAAGAGTTCTAGGAAAAAAAAAAAAAGCAACATCAACACACCCACCCTAAGAGCAATGCAAAGTCACTGAACATTTCTAAAATGACTTTTGTTATTAGGTGCCATCGAGTCGCTTCTGACTCATAGTAACCTTATTTACAACAGGATGAAACACTGCCCGGTCCTGGGTCCTGTGCCATCCTCACAATTGTTGCCATGTTTGAGCCCACTGTTGCAGCCACTGTGTTAATCCATCTCGTTGAGGGTGTTCCTCTTTTTTGCTGACCCTCTGCTTTACCAAGCATGATGTCCTTCTCCAGGGACTGGTCCCTTCTGATAACGTGTCCAAAGTAAGTATGACAAAGTCTCGCCCCCTCGCTTCTAAGAAGTATTCTGGCTATATTTCCTCAAAGACAGATTCATTTGTTCTTTTGGCAGTCCATGGTATATTCCATATTCTTTGCCAACACCATAATTCAAGGGCATCAATTCTGTTTCGGTCTTTCTTACTCATTATCCCGCTTTCGCATGCATGATGACTTTAGGGACACAGAAAAGACCTAAACGCTGCTGACCTTTCCCCAACTCAAACATCTATTTTAAACATTTAGATCAGGGAAGTTTGCTAACAAAGAAAGTAACTGTGAGATTTTTTTTGGATAAGGATTTGCTTTTTTTTTTAATCCCTTAAGAAATTACCCTATTTTAAAAACAAAAACACCCAGGGTAACTCTAAGCTCTGAGTAGAGATACAGATGGACATTTCTCATCAGACCATCCTGAGTGAGGTTTTGGAGTGACATGCCCTGTGTTCCACCCACACCATTGACAATTATTGAAAATACACCTTCAAAAATGGCTCCACGTGCTCTTTTGATGCTTTTATTGACAATTTGAGGACAAATACAGCTGTCAGGTATTTCTTTACACATCTCAGAGAAAAATAAAGATCCTTTTGCAGACTTCATTTCTACTCTTTTGATGTATTTATAGTTTGACACACCGTTCACGCTCAAATAATACTGCTTGTGATTCACGCCCATTTATAGTGGTTGTTTGTTTCTTTAACTTATTTTAAGAATCACCATTCTATTCTGGAAAACAAAAAATAAAGACCACCACCAAGAAGGGAAAAGAGACCACACTGGCACGCTTACAGCTCTAGAAACTAAGCGGAAACATGGGGCGAGCCTTGTCTCTGTACTGCAAACGGGACAAACCACACACATTTGGAAGGAGGCAATAGTTAAAACATCATCTTCAAGCACAGCTGTGGATTATATAAAATGCCGTGTGCTCCACGTGACAGAAGGGAGCCGTTTGATTTGTCACATCAGGAGCTTCTACTTACTGGGATTGTCAGTGACTTAAAGTCAGGTCTTCTTGGATTAAAGACTCAGCACCTGACACCTGCTGCCGGGACGGTGCCTGGTCACCGCGGTTTATCTCACGGCACGCAGGCGTGGAGCTCCCCATTCTTTCTCTAGGATCTTTAGCCTTCCTGAGGTAGGTACGGACACCCGGGGTCATGTTGGCGTAGTGGGGCTTTTCTGACCGGTGAAGTCCAATGAAGCTGTGGATGCAGATGTAGCTGCCATATAACACCCCACCTCGCCCAGGCACAGCGTCTCTGGAGGGAAAAGGGAGAGAGGAAAGGCTGGCCCTGGCTGGTTGAAAGAACGAGACGAATTGAGGCATTAGGGAAAGAGGACAGACGCCCTAGGGATGTGACCCTGGAAAGTTTTCTGAGGTCATTCTCTTAGTCCCCCAAGCAAGGACTTCTGGTGCTATGTGTAAAAACACAAGCCCTGCTACAGGTCTCAGAATTTGCAGAGTCCCTGAATCCAAACGGGATTCCACGTGCTAGTGAGACTCATGACGCCCTGAGTTAGGTGGATGATCGTCCGGAGAAGACAGATAATTCAGTTCTAACAACAGACAGCAGCTGTGCTTTTTCATCTGCACCCTGGGTGGCAGGTAGAAAATGCAGTTTGCTGCATCTCGCGGGAACTCTTTCGATACATTGCTAATGCTTAAAAAAAAAATAATTTGGAAACTTGACCAACACGCCAATCCATGTTAACTGAGGAAATAGTCTAACGTGAGTTTGCCACTGGACGTATAGCGCCCCCTGGGGCTTGCAGATGGGGGGAGCAGCACCGGCGTGCAGACGAAGCATAAACCCTTCTTACAAACAGAATCGGGCGCGTTTTAATTTTTGATAGCCCTGGAAATGTTACTTCTTTAAAGATTCCGATTTAATAATCCACACTTTTGTTAACATTCAGAGTCATTATGTGATCATTTCCCCCTCATAGACCCCCTTACCCATGAAATTCACAATGAAGCCAGATGTATTGGTTAATTCCCCAAGCTGCAAAGTGAATGCTTAAAATCAAATTGAACATTTTGTAATATTTTCAGAAAAACAATTTTTTTCTAAGATTGCAAATAATTAAACAGAATGAAAGTACATAACGTTTTGATTTCTTCCCTGTAATTTAAACATTCAACATTCAATTTACCTTTCATAGTTTCTCACTTAGTCAACAAGCTGACTTATGCATAGTTGGGATTTCATCAATGCAACTTATAAAGACCACATTCTTAGGGATAAGCAAATATTTCTGCCTATTGCATATGGTTCTTTGAGAATGGATATGCTCTGAAAATTTAAAAACGAGCATTTCTCTTAAAGCTATGCATAGAGTTTTGAGAATCCACAGCAAACAATCTTACAAGAACCACTGACAATAAGTGTTCCCCCCCGAAAAAAAAACCTCAAAAACAACAACAACAAAAGAACTGTTTCCGACTAACGACTTCTCCACAATATTTACTGTGGGTAAAAGGCAGCAAATTGAACTCGAGAAATTTCTCTGCGTGTCCTTTTCCAGCCTGGCTCAGATTTACTCAGGAATGACAGTCCATGCAAAACCCATGAACTGCACTTTAATCTGCGCTGTGACATGTGTGTATTGCTGAGGTCTGAAAACACCTCTTACTGGCCTCACCACCGGCTCTGGTGTTTTTCACGGACACAATAAAAGGGACACTGGGAGCTGCTTCTGGAATTTTGTTTTCGTGATTTTGGAAAGAACTTGAAATGTGTGCATGCGTGTGCGTGTGTGTATTCGGCTAAAGGAAAAGTGGCGGATAATGGTTGCCCTCCGCATGCGTCAGACGAGGGCTGCTGGCGGTCCGGCCGCTGGGAGCTACACGTCGAACCAGTGGTCGCCCATGCACGTACGGTTCCACTCCAAGCCGCAGTTCCAACACCACTCAAACTTGCACTGGGGCTGCGGGCACTTCATGTGCATGCATCCGCCTGGGGACCAACAGAGGACACAGGTGCCATTGGCATTAGGGTGCATGCTTTGAAAACACTCACACAGCGTAGCACATGCTCGCCTAGAAATTTATAGCCTCTGGGTGGTGCAAACAGTTAAGTGCTCCACGACTAACTAAAAGGCTGGCTGTTTGAACCCACCCACAGGTGCTTTGGAAGAAAGGCCTGGCAATCTGCCTCTGAAATGTCACAGCATTGAAAACCCCATGGAGCAGTTCTACTCTGCATACACGGGGTTGCCGTGAGTTGGAATTGACTCAATGACAACTGGTTGGGTTTTTGTTTTAGTATTCTAGAAATTAATGCTGAAATGAGTAATCGCAAGTAATATCAGGGCAGAGAAAATCTGAAAAAAGGCAGAGAGCACAATATGAAGTTCTCAAAGAAAGGAATAAAACGGAGGCATGCCACTTTCACTGGGAATGCATTGTATTTGTAAATCTGAGTTTATTTACATCTCCTGAAATGGAATTTGTAAACAAATGATTCATGTTTCACAGGCAATGACTTAATTCCTCATTATTTTATCTTAATAATTTAAATATGTATATATTTTTTCTTAAATTAATTTTTTATCATATCTTTAGGGTTATCTGGCTTGGCAAAATTCATGAAACAGGAGTCGGGACAGCTATTACTTCAATTCCTCATTACTTTACCTTAATAATTTAAATGTATTTTTCTTTCTTGCGATTAATTTTTGTCATTTCTGTCGTGTTATTTGGCTTAGCATAATTTCTAAAACAGGATAAGGGACAGTATGCTGTTTTTAATAGGGACTATGTCTCCTAATGTCATTAAAAATTGTATTTAAGGTGAGAAAGATATGCTGTTGTTAGTGTCATTGAGTCGCTCCAGCTCACGATGACCTGCTGTACAACAGAACAAAACATCGCCCAGACCGGCCCCATCTTCACGATCATTGGTATGTTTGAGTCCACTGTTGGAGCTATTATGTCAATCATCTCACTGATAGTTTCTTTCATTTTCGCTGACCCTCTGATTTACCACACATGACGTCCTTTTCTAGTAATTGGTCTTTCCAGACGAAGTGTCCAAAATAAACTAGCTGAAATCCGAGGAACTAACGTTTACTGACAGGTATAATGCTAGGTGATATACATATGTTGGCACAGTGGTTAAACACTCGGTTGCTAATTGAAAGGTTGGCAGTTTGAACCCACCAGCCGCTCCTCGGGAGAAAGATGTAGCAGTCTGATTCCATAAAGACTTGGAAACCCTATAGGGCAGTTCTACCTTGTTCTACTATTTTTTGCCAGCTATGGCAAAATCAACTCAACGGCAATGGATTTGGTTTTGGGTGTATACATATGTTATCCCACTTAATCCTGAAAAACACCTTGTGAGCCAGATATTATTACCAGTTTCAGAATTTTCTCAAGGTTAAGCGTTTGTACACGGTGACATCTGAGATTTAACTGAGATCTGTGATTCCAATTCTTACGCTCATTCCGGTACAGAGTAGGATCTCCAGCACAAGATAAAGGGGCACTTATTTGGGGATTATTTTGGTATTCCTTCTTTCCTTCCATTTACTAAATATAGTCACTATTTGCTTCTGGGGCTCAGAAATCAAGTCTTCAATCAGGTAAAGAGGAAGTTACTTGTGTAATTCCACAGAGGTCTGCTTTTGACTGAATTTCCTAGAACATCCAAGTTAAAGCTGGATATTTAGTTTCTTTGCTGAGTCATACATAAAACCAAATGTGCTCTGTTATTCAATTTTACCAATTATCTCATTAATTCATTTCTTTCTTTCTTGCCAAATTTTCCAAGTAATTGCTTCAGTACAGTTTCATTTTTATTATTGGAAAGCTGGCAAAAGAACTTCCACTAATTTATGAATGTGTAACTAAAGGTATTTGCTTTAAGATAACTGAAATACATTTAAAATTCCATATACTTCTATTTCTTTTTGGTTTGTTTTAAACATCGTAAAAAATTACAGATGTATGGGAAATAAAGGAAAATACTCACCTATGACACTTTTAACACTTTCCACTTAGGATTATATCATATTCAATACATATTTAATGATTGGAGCCCTGGTGGCACAGTGGTTAAGAGCTCAGTTGCTAACCAAAAGGTGCACAGCTCGAATCCACAGCCGCTCCTTGGAAACCCTGTGAGGCAGTTGTACTCTGTCCCATAGGGTCACTATGAGTTGGAATCAACTCAATGGCAATGGGTTTGGTTGGGTTTTTATATTTATAAATAATATGAGAAAACAATGTGATGTGATAAAATCACTTAAGTTTCTATCAAATATCAAAGAATTCTTTAGCAATATATTCAAACTCAATGAAATATGAAAATAATGCTAAATTGAAGGTGGAGAATGTTTTTTTATTATACCAAAAATCTAACGGATATGGAATATTAGTGTTACAAATAATTTTCTATTACAGAAACTAGAACCACTATGGCATAGTAGAATAAGAAAAAAGGAAATAGGAGCAGAGGATACCCCCATTATTAACTTTCTTTCTTTCTAACACAATATCTACCACCACCACCAGTTGTGGTTCAGTGAACTCTGACTCATGGTGACCCCAGGCCTTTCTCCTGAGGCATGTCTCGGTGGACTTGAACTGCCTGTCTTTTGGTTAGCAACTGAGCGCATTAACCGTTTACACCACCCAGGGACTCTGATGCTTAATATACATGAGGCAATATACTGGATCCTATAATATGGAGGAACACCAAGGACCTAATCCTAAAAGCTTTGCCTACCTAAAGGCAAATGCAAGGAACAGATTTACACTAATTTGTGATTTACATGAAGAAAACATGGCCTCCCCGGGTAGTGAGTTCTGGCTGTGGAGTGATAGGTCGACAGTGGAAAGCCAGCCTAGCCCGGGCGCTCTTTATCAGGGCTCTGGCACCAAATCTTCCATTAAATTTAATGAGAGAGTAGAAGTTCCTGAACGAGCTGGAAGCAGATTTAATAGGCAACAGATACTTAGATCTGAGAATTGCACCAGAATCGCATGTGTTTGAGACAGAAGTGAAGAAAGAAACTTCCAGAGATTAAAGGGGATTGTGGGAGGAAGCATCAAGGGTTAGCCTATGTTTAAAATAATTCTCATTATCATTTCAGTTTAGGTGAAGGAAAATCTACTTTTCTGGGAGTCAGCTGAATATGAAACAAGCTGTGAACTTCAATGAAAACTATTAGATAAGGAAACTATCTTTCCTTGCTAACAGTGACTGTACTGGTTTCCATTGTGGTGGTATATTTCAAAACAATTTGAAGGTTTAGCTTTTCAGTTTATAAGCTACAATGATATATATTTAAAAATTGGGGTCATAGGACTTCCTTTGGAATTGCGATTTTCTCGTTTAAGATGGTTTGTGAGCATTTCCCATAACTTCTTCCTTAACATGAAAAACTGTACAACACTTACTGAGGGCTTGCTATAAGCAGGCACCGTGCTGGGTGCTTTCAATATATTAGCTCACTCTCACATCAGTTCTATAAGGTATGTACTGTTACAAACCCATTTCATGGATGAGGAAACTGATGCTCAGGTCACACCGGATGTGGCAGAGCCAGATTCTAATCACAATATAAACAAGCTCTCTCATGTTAGAGGACATTGATAACATCCAACAATTTAGCATGATCAACATATCAGCATATTGATAACATTGGGTGTTCAGATGATTTTGGGTTTTCTTCAATTTAAATAATGCCGCGATTAGCATGTTTTTGCCTAAAGTGTGCGCGTGTGTGTATCTGTACTGTGTATTTCAGATTATTTCTGTGAGATATATTTTTAGAAGGAAAATTATTGGATCAAAGGATATAAACATTACAAATCTTTTGAAATATATTGCCCAGATGGTTTCCAGAAAAGTTATGCCAATTTGTGTCCTCACTATCTTTGAGGATTATAATTACAAATACAACAAAACAATACAAACAAAAAATTAAAAACCTTTGAGGATAATAAAATGGTACCTTACTATTTAACTGGTATTCTTTAAGCACCTGTGATACAGAACTCCAGTCTGTGTTTATGAGCCATTGCAAATTCTCCCTTGTGAAGGGCCTTTTCATATTACTTCTCTTAACCTTGCCTGTGCTTTAAGCAAGCCAGCACTGGCCAGCCAGTGAGTGGCCGTCAAGGTTGGAAAGCTCTTTCCTCTGATTATGTTAATAGGTGCAGACAGAGACCCTGCCAACCCACTGCATTTTCCAGGAGCGCCCCAGTATGCAAAGGAATAAGAACGACTCATTGGGTAAATAGTCGTTTTTTTGTTTTTCTTCTTTTTTACCCTGGGAGGCCATTGACCCCGAGCTAGGGACTTGGCTGGGCTCAGTGGTTCCTGGGAGTATCCGCACCTTTTGTTTGTGTTAATGGAGACTCTTCCAAAGGACAGCCCTGAGGGGGGAGACGTTGAGTGCCGAGCATGGACCTGCAGGCTCTCACTTCATGCAGCGAGTCAGCTCTGACCAGCCTCCTATCAGGCGTATGAAGTCAGAGCTCCACAAGAAGAACACCGGAGAGCTGCAGCAAGTGCTTCTTTGACGGTGCTCCTGACTACCTCACACATGTAGGAGGGTCTCAAGTTTAGAAAGGTCTCTGTGGGTGCTGGGTGGTGGTGGCTTTAGACTGGACGGATGGCAGCAGGACCCCATTGGCTGCTGCGAGGTGTCAGAGTCATTGAGCATGGCGGGTCAAGTATGAACTAGAGTATAATTTCAAATAAGGAGCTCTGGTGGTGCAAACAGTTAAGCACTCATCTGCTAACCTAAAGGTCAGCAGTTCAAACCCACCCAGCCGCTCCAGGGGAAAAAGACCAGGCGATCTGCTTCCATAAAGACTGCAGCCAAGAAAACCCTACGGGGCAGTTCTACTCTGTCACATGGGGTCTCTATGAGTTGAAATGGACTCGACAGCAACCAGAGACAACAGCAATATAACTTTAAATAATGTTGTGGAGCTGCTACAGCTATGAAACAATGGCGGGCAGACAACATGACCACAGAGGGTGGCCTCAAGGGCGGGGGAGGAAGCAAAGTCTCTGCCTTAGCCTGGCTGAGCCACTTATTTTGAACCACATCGAATATCTCGATCCTAAATATTTTCTGAGGACCCCTGGTGGCGCAGTAGTTAAGCGCTTGGCTGCCAACCAGAAGGTTGGCAGTTCGAACCCACCAGCTGCTCTGTAGGAGAAAGATGTGGCAGTTTGCTTCTGTAAAAGGTTACAGCCTTGGAAACACTATGGGGCAGTCTACTCTGTCCTGCAGGGTCGCTAGGAGTTGGAATTGACTTGACGGCAATGGAGTTTTTTAAACAATAGTTTCTGTACTCATTCTCTTCCCAACCAGACGAGCACGAGTTGTCTTCTTCACACAATCATGGGACTCTCAGTAGATACTTTTGTGTGACAAGAAAGGAATAAGAGCGGGGAACATTTATTGAGGGCTTAATCTGTGTAGCAGGTGCTTTACAAATGTGATTTCATTTAATCTGCACAGTGACTCTCCACAAAGGGTACATGGATTGCCCCCATTTTACAGAGGAAGGAACAGAGGCTTAGAGATTAACTAACAGGTTTAAGGGGTTATGCAACATGACAAAGGGATGATAATGGTGGAGCAAGGACTTGAACTCAGGCAGTCCAGAACCCAAGTTCTACTTCAGTCCCAGAAACCCATTGCAGCCTGGTCAGAAAGCCCCCTGGGATGGATCAGGAGATATGCTAAATAGGGAAAACATAAGTGCCCAAATTCCTTGCAACCTCCCCAAAGTGAAAACAAAACAATAAATTCCAGGGAAAAAGATCTTTCTAGAAAATGTTGTTGTTAGCTGCTGTCCAGTTGGCCCCTGACTCATGGCAGCCCTATACACAATGTACCTATTACAGCAGGAGATGGGGATGGAGTCCTTCAGTCCAAGAGCTCCTGCAATCTCCGAATGGCCACCGTGGCCACGCAGGATGAGGCTGAGAGGATATGACTGCAGGCGTTGGAGGGGAGAGCCAGGCATTGCCGGGGGTTTACAGCACAGTTTGGGAGGCCTGTGAGGGTGGAAGCTGGTGTTTCTAGGAACTGTGAACCCGAGCAAAGAAAGACACATCCACGGCTCCTGGTGGACGATGGCGGTAGTTCATTTCGTTTATTTCGGAGCTGTCTCCAAATAGTCATTTCAAATTCTACAAATTTAAAGAGCGTTTGGTAGAAGGCAAAAGAACAACTCCTTTTCGAAATACATTCATGTGGAGCACATTTTAATGAAAGAGTCAAGTATCATAATACGGAATAAACCAGTTGCCATTGAGTTGATTCTAACTCATGGCAATCCCACGTGTGCAGAGCAGAAATGTGCTCCATAGGGTTTTCAATGATTTATTTTTTTGAAAGTAGATTGCTGAGCCTTTCTTCTGAGGAATCTCTGGGTGGACCTGAACCGCCAACCTTTAAGTTAGCAGCCAAGTGCATTAATTGTTTGCATCACCCTGAGACTCCATCATAATAATTCAAAACTCAAAACCAAACCCATTGCTGCTGAGTCGATTCCGACTCATAGCAACCTTAGAATAATGGAAGGCACTGAGTCTACCTCAGCTGGAATAGAGAAACCACAGGAAACCGTGTTCCAGTATTCAAAGCCATATTAATAGGTGTGATATGAAAAAAGAATTTCATGGCCAAATAAATTCAGAAACCAGTTGGTTAAACAAAATTAAACAGGTGTCTTACAGAAGGAATGCTGAGTTGCTTTAATATGCTAACGTACATTGTGAATGGGGATCCTAATAGGAGCTCCCTTGGGTGGTTGCTGGGAGGATTAAATGATTTGATATTGTAGAACACATAGAACAATGTCTGGCATATAGTAAGTGCTCAGTAAAAGTTGATTTTGGTGATATTATTATTACCCAAGAGGAAGGATATAGCAGGAATCACTTTCCAAATTAATTCATCATGGTGACCGCCTCTTTTCCCCATAGAGTATCTCTTGGGACTAGTGGACCATTGAGGATATTTTGGGAAATATTGGACTGGGAATTTTCCCTGACTTTTTTTTGTGTTTAGAGCAGTAGACAACGTATCAGACACAAAGTATCTAATATTAGTAACAGATAATAATACGGGCTTTCTATATGCTACCACTTGTCTGTCAGTCTGTCCTACTGTGGAGGCTTGAGTGTTGCTATGATACTGGAAGCTATGCCACCAGTATTTCATATCCCAGCAGGGTCACCCAAGGTGACCAGGAGATTCCAGACTAAGTCAGACTAGGAAGGAAAACCTGGAGATCTACTTCTGAAAATTAGGCAAGAAAAACCCTGTGCATGACAACAGCATACTGTTCAGTACGGTGCCGGAAGATGAGCCCCCTTGGTTGGAAGGCACTCAGCATGCACAGTGGCCACAACAATGGACTCAAGCACATCAACGACCGTGAAGTTGGTGCAGGAAAGGGCAACGTTTTGTTCTGTTGTACATGGGATCGCCACAAACCAAGTACTGGGCTCGGCAGTCCATCGAAACTCATCCTGCTGTATGACCCTCGCAACCACCTATGAGGAGCTGACGCTTAGGAGGCTGGGAAGCGTGATGTGGTAGAACTGAGATTCAAGCTCTTTCTGGATGGCTTTAATCCATCTGCTCAACTACTTAGTTATAAAATCCTACCCAGAGTCCCTGCCTCTTATAACCATGCAGCGAATACTCTCCAAGGAAAACTCACTAAATCCTCATTTTTTTGGCCTGCCCAGACTCACCGTTTTTTTCAACTGGGACATGGCAACGAGGACAAGGTTTGGTGGTTTTCTTGATTGTTTCTTTGGAGGCCTCTTCCCATCGAGCTTGCTCAGCTGCCTTTTCATCAACTCTGTAGCCCTGGGTAAATAAAGACACAAGGAGTTTAGATTCCGATCTTTATCTGAGGATGTAAGTTTAGGCCATGACATTCTTTTTTTTTTTCACATCACACCTCTCTTTGCAAGACTGTACACAGTAAATTCTTAAAGATGGAAGTGCCTTCAGGGAAGCAGCTCCAGTGTAAGTGCATTTGACCAGTGGTGGATAGCTATTGAATGTACACACAACACAGTTTTCCTGGCAAATGACATACACTTACAGCTTAACAAGAGATCACTCAGTTGTATAGTGCGAGGTCCTTTATTCTGTTGTTTTGAATAATTGCAATAAATAACATTTACCAGGTTTGATGCATTCAAACCGGGGTGTTGGCGAGAAATACTAAATACACCACGGACTTCCAGAAGAACAAACATTCTTAGGAGAAATGCAACCAGAATGTTCCTTAGAAGCGAGGATGGCAAGACTTTGGCTTGTTCACTAAGAAGAAAGGTCTGGTGATTTATTTCTCAGAATCAGCCAGTGAAAACCCTATGACTTACAACAGATTGTTGCCTGATATAGTGCTGGAAGATGAGTCCCCTAGGTTGGAAGGCATTCAAAATTCCCAGTGACTTCAACAATGGACTCAAACATACCGATGATCATAAAGATAGCACAGGATTGGCCAACATTTTGTTCTGTTGTACATAAGGTCACGATGAATTGGAGCTGATTTGGCGGCAACCAACAATGCTGTGTGCCAAATGTTGTGTATCTATCTCCTTTAATCCTTGTAATAACACCACATATAATATGCTCTCCTTATTTTGCAGAAGGTGAAATGAGGCCTGGAGAGGTTACATAACCTCCCAAGATCACATAGCTGGTAACCCAGATGTTTAAGTCTCTTTGGTTTTGAAGCCTTGCTCTTTCTGTCTCAACGTGCTCATCCGGGAGCCAGTGCTAAACCACTCCCGGCACTTTCTGAGCAGGGGTTTGAAGACAGGAAAGGAGGCCTTTAGGCCTGAAGCATGGGCCAGCGTGATGGCGGCATGAACGACCTAAGACCGGGGTATTCAGGTCCTGCATCAGAGTGAGGACACTTGGTCTGCCAGAAGATAGGTGTGGGGACAGGTCGAGTGTGTCTAAATGGGCTGTGGTCACTGGCTGGACAGCCCGACAGACATGTCCAGGAGGCAGACGTCAGAAACGGCCATGGGGAGGAAGCGTGGGTGTTGAGTGTGATCTCAGAGTCCTCTCCAGAGTCCATGTTGAAGCTGCAGAAGAGCCTGCAGAAGCAGATGTGAAAGGGCAAGAGGGCTAAGGGCAGATCCTCACGACAATGTCAGAGAAAAGAGAAATGACCCCAAACCCTAGAGATAAGGCTAAACAGAGACTGCATTCATCTCCTTTTTCAGTATTATCCTACAGGATTTTCTTACAAGCCCGCCCCACAGTCACCCAGCTCTCTCTTGTGGGGTGGGGTGGGGGTAGGGATGAGGCTGGGCTTCTAGGGGTGGGTAATTTTGCTCAACTAACTACCTACAACTGCTTAGGGCCGGAGGGTTTTACAGCCCTGAAGAGTTAGGGGTTAAAGTGCAGAAAACTGATAAGGTGTGATTTTATTTTTCCTGGTAGGGAGGATATGCCTAAAGGTTAGGGTTTTATTGCCCCACAGGGCATTAACCGTTCTGTAGAAACTTAGAAATCACATTTCAGCATTCCTTTCTCAGTGAACTGTATGGCATGCTCTTCCTCAAAACTGCCTCTCTTGACCTCCTGCCGGTTTTCTCATTAATCAATGAACACAGCTCTGACATGGCCAACAACGAACTGTGTCTGAGGATGACGCTGCTACACCTGCCTGCAAAGTTGTCAGAAACGAGCAAAGAGGAAGGGGGGCAGGGACGAGGCTGCTCCAGGATCACCGTGCCAAGGAAGGAAGGAGTTCTCAGAAGACACAGTAATGATGTTTCTATCATATTTACTAGGAGCCCTAGTGGTGCAATGGTTAAGCGCTCAGTTGCTAACTGAAAGAACGGCAGTTTGAGCCCACCCAGCTGCTCTGCAGAGAAAGACCTGGAGATCTGCTCCCGTAAAGATTACAGCCTAGGAAACCCTATGGGGCACTTCTACTCTGTCCTGCAGGGTTGCTATGAATTGGGATCAACTCTTTGGCACGCAACGACAACCATCTAGTTGAAGGAGCCTTGGTGGCACCATGATGAAGTGCTTGGCTGCTAACAGAAAGGTCGATGGTTCAAACCCACCAGCTGCTCTGTGGGAGAAAGACCTGGCCATCTGCTCCCGTAAAGATTACAGCCAAGGAAACCCTATGGGGCACTTCTACTCTGTCCTGCAGGGTTGCTATGAATTAGAATCAACTCAATGGCACACAACGACAATAATAACAACACTACATTTACAAAGGGTGTTGTCTGCATCAGACGCTTCACAAAGATTATTGGATTTAGCAATTGGAACATCTTTGCAAGGTAGGTTCTATTAGCAACTGACCCTGCAGAAGCTGCAGCTTCGTGGGGCTGCCTAACTTGCCCAGGTCACGCGGCCGCAGAGCTGCAGACTCAGTCTGTACCCAGCATGGTCTGACCTCATGCCCCATGCTGTTTCGACCATGATTTCCTTCTTCCATCACCACGTTGCAGGCTACCAAGAGGACTAAGGGACTGAGGCCAAGCAAAGTCATGGCGGTCAGCAGGGCCCGGGAGACAGCAGTTTTAAGACGACGTGTGGTGAAGAGGCAGAGAGAGAAGGCACCTTCACCGAGCCGTGTCCAGGCGGGTCCCACGGCCTCCTGCTACCTCCTTCAAAACCAGCTTGGCGCCTTCACGACTCCATGGCCCGCTCACATGCTATCTGCCGTCGCTGGCGTCAGGCTGGCTCTGACTTCGCCTGACATGCTGAAACCATCCTAAGAAAGGACGCGGGAGGCCCTAACTGCCAAAGTCCTTGCCTTTTCCTGTGTCCTTACCTTCTCTGACCGTTCCAGTCACCTAGCGCTGTCCACCACCTTGCTGCTTGGCTGAGTCAGCACAAAGACCCCCAGGGGGCGCCATTCTGTGTCTCTGAGCTCCATCCAGTGGGACCCGTGAGACAGGAGGAGAGCTGGAGACCCCACTGCTGCTGATGGCTAGCGGGCATGGCAGCCAGCCCAGCACAGGCCCGAACACCAGCTGTCAGGTGCTCTGCCAGGTGGTCGTGTCAGTTACCTCCCAGGGGAAGAGGGCTGTCGTCAAGCCCCGCCTACTGAGACGAGAACAGTACCCTGCACCCTCCCCAGGCATCCTTGATGCTGACGTTCAAATCCTTCCAAAATGATCTCAAGCCGTGGTCAGGTGCCCACTGCTTCAGGATCACTGAAGGATGTTTAAAGCATACCAGTTTCTGTGCTCACACCCTGAAGAACTGGAGTCAGTAGGTCTGGGGTGGCGTCCAGAAATTCAAATCTGTAAAAACACCCAGGTGGTCATGATGTACAGGGAAGTTTGGGAACCTTCTATCCACTACATGGCAAGTTGGAGAAATGTATGTTCAGTTGAGGGGAAGGCTGTGTCATGATTCAGCATTACGGCCCACCAGGTGACCACCTGGGGCTCCTATAGAGCAGTGTGAATTTGTTAATGGCATAGGACACTATGCCCACCTACTCCCCCCGGGCCCCACCATAAGAAGGAACAATGTGCCTGCAGTGGGGCCGGGCTGGGAATGAGGACACGTCTCCCTTCTTGCATCTGTGACGGCTGAAATGCAATTTCCTATCAGAGAGCCATGCACACACGTTTCTTCACAATTGTCTCAGCGAAGTCACACATCATCGTGATAGTCAGTCTGTGGCTCAAGAAGGGATGATCCTTTTTGTTCATATGGTGATGCTTTTTAAGTGAAGATTTAGGGGAGTCTGTATGGTGGTGCAAATGGTTAAGGCACTCGGTGCCTCACAGGTTTGAGTCCACCCAGAGGCTCCTTGGAAGAAAGCCCTGGCGACCAACTTCCAAAAGAATCAGCCATTGAAAACCCTACGGAACACAGCTCTCCTATGACACACGTGGGGTCGTCATGAGCTAACTGACTCGATGGCAACCTGTTTTGGTCCCAGGGTGGCACAAACGGTTTGTATTTGGCTACAAACCCAAAGGTTGGTGGTTCCAATCCACCCAGCAGATTGGTGGTTCCAATGTCACCCAAGACGAAAGAAAGGCCTGGTGAACTGCTTCTATGAGATTACAGCCATTAAAAAAAAAACCCTACGGAGCACAGGTCTACTCTGAAATGCATGGGGTCGCCATGAGTTGGAATCAGCTTGACAACAGGTTTGGTTTCATGAGAATCGGCTAAGAGCTACAGTAACAAAGTACCACAAACGGGGTGGCTGCAAACAACAGACATCTATTTTCTCCGAGTTTGGAGGCCAGACATCCCAATTCAGGGTGGCAGCCATGCTGATTCCTTCTGGGCGCTCTGAGGGAGGAGCTGTTCCATGCCTCTCTCCCGGCGTCTGGTGAAGGCCGGCGACGCTTGGATCCTCGGGTCGTAGCTGCCTCACTCCCATTCTGCCTCCGTTTCCACATGCCCTTCTTCCCTGCATCTTCCAATCTCGCTCTCCTTACAAGGACACCAATCACTATATTAAGGACTCGCCCTAACTAAGGGTGACCTCATATTAATTTGACTGCATCTGCAAAGACCCTATTTCCAAACAAGGTCACATTTGCAGACACAGGGGATAGGACTTGGACATATCTTTTTGGGGTATGCAATTCACCCCATGACAAGCTCCCACCATGATCTGTCAGGCTCTGAGCTAGGCACGAGGTATATATGATTTCATTACGTCTTTACGATGTCACAGCGTAAATGACTATAAAGTAGTCATTTTGTGGATGAGGGAAGTGGGGATCTGACAGGTTACATCTCTCACTCAGTGATGCCCGCAGCCAGTCACAGGTGAAACTCTTTTCGAGACCAGATCTGTTTGACTTCAAACCATTCTGCCCAGCCTTGGATCCCTCGCTAAT